CTTGGACCATGTGGTGAGTGTTATAGCTCTGTTAGAAGCTGTGGGTCATGGAAGAGAACCGTGGAACCCAGTGACTAGTGTTCAGCTCGATTAGGACAAACCCGGGCACTTAGTCATGCAGGAACAATGGCAAGCCTTTAGCCTGATCCGGAGCGGCAATGGGCGCCTTGCTGTATCAGAAACGCAGCGGTAGACGGTGAGCGAAAGCTCGGCTGGAGCCGTAACAAACACAGACCAGAAGAGTGTGCAGTTGCAAGATTTAATAGAGTGAAAACAGAGCTCCCATACAATGGGAGGGGACCCAAAGGAGGTTGCCCCTCCCGGCTGGAATGCCTGTTTATATCCCGATCATTGTCCCTCCCCCTGTGCTCTCAGGTGATATATGATTTGACTATTTCTTTACCTCCTGCTTTTAGCCTAATTTGTATTTTAGTGAGCCCTCTTTACTACCTGATTGGTCAGGTGTGAGCTGAGTTATAAGCCCCAAGTTTAAAGGTAGGTGCGGTCACCTTCCCCAGCTAGGCTTAGGAATTCTTAGTCAGCCTAGGAAATCCAGCTAGTCCTGTCTCTCAAAACTGGGTTCTTGTTGAGAGGACAGCGATAACCCCACTCACATGCACCGAGATTAGCAGGTCTAGGTTCCTCCAACCCTATATGGGCCTAGTGACTGGTGGCCAGATTACGAAACAAAAAGCATTTCTGATTGTTTTGCATGTGAAGAAAACAAACAAAGTTTTATTGAGTTAGGGTCTTTGCATTCAGTTCTCTGTCTCTTCACATTCTTTTCTTTTTCTTTTTTTTTTTTTTTTGAGACAGGGTCTGGCTCTGTAGCCCAGGCTGGAGTGCAGTGGTAACACGATCATAGCTCACTGCAACCCTAGCCTCCCAGTAGCTGGGTCTATGGGCGCATGCCACCAAACCTGGCTAATTTTTTTCTATTTTTTGTAGAGACCAGGGCTTCACTATGTTGCCCAGGCTAGTCTCAAACTCCTGGGCTCAAGCAATCTGCCTGCCTCGGCCTCCCAAAGTATTGGGATTAGAGGCTCAAGCCACCGCTCCCAGCCATCTCTTCACATTCTAAAATAACTTTGTAGGGAATGTTCCAAAGGGCCCTCCACAACAAGGAAAATCAAGTGTGTGTCTTCTGCGACTTAAGCTTGTGTGCCTTTTCAGCTGCTCATTTGCAAACATTGTGTGTTTAGCTTAGCTTAGCTCTTTGGGGCATAGGTATAATAGTATGGCTTATTGGTTTCTCCAGATAGAAAAACTTTCAGCATCTGAACCAGCAGACTCTGTGGAGAAGAAAGGTTTCTCAAGGTATCACCCAGTTCCAAAGGGAGGTGGATTAGATGTTGAGAGGTTAATTGGCTATGGTCAAGGAAGATGTTTGCATCTGAGCAAATAGCTTTGGGGCAGAGATGATTTTATTTTTCATTTATTTATTTTTTGAGATGGGGTCTCACCGTGGTGCACAGGTTGGAGTACAGTGGTGCGATCTTGGCTCACTGCAACCTCCGCCTCCCGGGTTCATGTGATTCTCATGTCTCAGCCTCCCGAGTAGCTGGGATTACAGGCACCCACCACCACGCCCAGCTAATTTTTTTGCATTTTTTTAGAGACGGGGTTTCACCATGTTGGCCTGGCTGGTCCCGAATTCCTGACTTCAGGTGATCCACCTGCCTCAGCCTCCCAAAGTGCTGGGATTACAGGCATAAGCCACCATGCCCAGCCACAGAGATGATTTTAAATGGCCACTTGGGCAGGGCTTCTTATGGAGAAGACCTTTAGGTGGGGTTATGACCCAGGGAGTTAGCAGCTAGGCAGTTTTGCCAGTGAAAGGGTAGCTTTCCAGGTAACAGGACTTTGTAGCCCAAGTTTAATTGTTGTATCCCCTTCCTCCAGGAGTTGTTTGTATATTATATATATATATATTTTTTTTAAATGGGTCTTGCTCTGTCACCCAGGCTGGGGTGCAGTGGTGCGATCATGGCTTACTGCAGCCTAGACGTCCCATGCTGAAGCGAACCTCTTGCCTCAGCCTCCTGAATAGCTGGACTGACTACAGGCATGTGCCACTGATAGGGTTTGGCCGTGACCCCACCCATAATCTCATCTTGAATTGTAATCCAGATTGTAATCCTCATGTGTTGGGGGAGAGACCTCCTGGGAGGTGATTAGATGTCCTTTTAAACAATCCTTAAAGAGAATCATGCTCTAGTCATATAATTTCAGGTAAAACCATTTAAACACACAAATTTTTGTTTTTATTGTCCCTTCCTATGGAAGTAAAAACTGACATTTCCCCCATACTCTAGCACTATTCTTCTCCTTGTTCTCTTGCTTGAGGGGTATGGTTCTTTGTCCTGAACTGGTTACTCCTCCGTGTCCTCCTGGCTCCCAAGCAGGCCTAGCTTCTCCCTGCCTATGTTCAAGGAAAACAGGGGAGCAATTCTGGAAAAATATTTGAGCCCATGAAGTGTTAGCTAAGTTATCCAGATCATTAGGGATCCTGTGTGCTATAGATGGATAAATCATTACATTAGCAATAAAAAGGACATGTTTTCCCTCCAAGCACTGAAAAATGGAAGTGATTAGAAGCTAAGTGGCTAAATCAAACTGCATTGTAAAAAGCATTCTAGTCTTGCAAATAATCAGATATCCAGGGCAGTGCTATAAAAAGCATTTATTTTTCCCCCCTGATTCCATTGTAGGGAAAGAATACCATCCTAGGTCCAACTTGATTGGTGGAATAGACTGAGGGGAAAGGAATAGCTGAGATGCAGTTGTTAGACAGACCTGCTAACTAGGGTGGACCAGGCACTGGGGAAGGCAGCTTGGCTCACAGCAGCGGTTTAACCCAGCCAGAAAGCAGTGATGTCCAAGGAATACTGTAAACTCTGGTTGTGGTTCAGGCAGAGGTTGACAAATGGGGGTTCCAGAGGGTGGGTAGAGCACAGCAATAAGTATTTTAGGCTGGTGCTAAGAAGTCTAGGCACACAGTTGCCATTTAAAAGGCTGGTGTGTGTGATTAGTGGGGACTCTGGCCCAGAGCTAGGGATTAGGGGCAGCACTTTAGTCTCTGGGGAAGACGCCTGGCTAGAGTTACACAGAACCCCAGGTTTCATAGGGGTTTCAGGATACTGGGTAGGTTACCAGTTCAGGAACTTGGAAATAGTCTAATAATTTAAAACTGTTATTTTTTCCTTCAAGCTCTAGAACATAGATCAAGACTGCTTTCCAAAGCAGCTCTGAATAATTAATAATTCCCACCAATAGTGGGAGTTTTTCACACCTTGCCAACACTTGTATTTTCCTACTTGTTGGTTATAGCCATCCTAATGGGAAGTGGTATCTCCTTGTGGTTTTGGTTTGCCTTTCCCTGACAACCAATGATGTTGAGAGTCTTTTCATGTGCTTATTGCCCATCTGTATATCTTTTTTTCCTTTTATTTATTTATTTTTTAAGAGACACAGTTTCGCTATGTTGTTCAAGCTAGTCTTAAACTCCTGACCCCAAGCAATCCTCCTGCCTTGGCCTCCCCAAAGTGCTGGGATCACAGTCATGAGCCACCGCACCCATTCCTGTATATATTTTTTCCCCCTCTGGTTGCTTGTGTGTTTGGCATCATATTTAAGATACTGCCAAATCCAAGTCATGAAGATTTTTACACCTATATTTTTTCCTAAATTTTGTAGGTTTAGCCCTTAGACTTAGGTCTTTGATCCATTTTGAGTTAATTTTTGTATACGGTATGAGTAGGGGTCCAATTTCATTCTTTTGCACATGGATATCCAGTTGAAAAGAGTTCTTTCCCCAGTGAATTATTTTGGCGCCCTTACTGAAAGTAATTGACCATAAACCACTGAAGAACTTTAAGCAGAGGAGTGACATGATTTATTTTATGCTTTAAGACAGTATTGCTGGCTGCTATATAGAGAGTGTATTGGAGGGGCAAGAGTTTATGTAGGGAGAGCAGTGAGTAGGAAGCTGCAATTATCCAGGCCAGAGATGATGGTGACTTGGGCCACAGTAATGGTAGTAGAGATGGAAAGAAGGTGGTTATAACTTGGGAAATAAAGTTAGTAGGACTTGGGACTGCCTGGCCTGGGGGTGGGGCATAAAAAGAAAGGAAAGGACAAGGATGACTCCTCTTTAGGTTGGGGTCAAGGATTCTCTTCAGATTTGAAGTCTGGATGGCTAAATAGATGGTAGTGTTATTTACTAGCACACAAATGGAGAAGCACGTTTTTAGAGGGCAAATAATGAGTTTAGTTTGGGATGAATTGAATTTGATTTCAAGCGGAGATGTCCAGAAGGCAGCTGGAATATGGGTCTAGAGTAGAGCTTGAGGGACAGCTCTGGGTTGGAGAGAGTGATTTGGGAGTCATGAGCACATAGGTGGGAGTGGAAGCTCTGGGAAAACTTGAGGAGAGACTAAAAAGAGTGAGAAGAGGTCCTAGGACTGAGTCCTCTGGGAGGAAGAACACAGAAGAAATGGTCAGTGAAGAGGAGGAAAACCAGAAGGAATCTATAGGAATCTGAAAGGAGGGAATTTTAAGAGGGGAAGGGAGTGATCAATAGTGTCAAATGCATCACGGAGCTCCAGTAAAATAAGGCCAGAGAAGTTCCCATGTTTCCATGCCCCTACACATAGAGGTTTGTTTTACAAAAAATATCACTTTGTACTTCTTATGGGTGCCAACTTAAAAAAAAAAAAAAACTGTGGAACCAATAATCTTTGCACATTCATTTTCCACAACTAGTGCCTGAAGGTGTTGCTGGCAGCATCTGGTGGATATTTGTTTGTGTCTCAAGTGATGCCAGCTTTCATTGGCATCTTCTGTGCTAATCTTTCCCATCCTGAATTGAGGATATTAAAAGTCCAGCTGCAGTTTGGATTCTAAAATGAACTCTAAAGCATTCTTAGACTGAATGTCCAATGTTTCCTTTCTCTTCTTCTTTTTTTTTTTTTTTTTTTTTTTTGTTACCTTTTTTATAGATATGTGAAAGAGGCCAAAGAAGCAACTAAGAATGGAGATCTGGAAGAAGCATTTAAACTTTTCAATTTGGCAAAGGACATTTTTCCCAATGAAAAGGTGCTGAGCAGAATCCAAAAAATACAGGAAGCCTTGGAGGAGTTAGCAGAACAGGGAGATGATGAATTTACAGATGTGTGCAACTCTGGCCTGCTGCTTTATCGAGAACTGCACGACCAACTCTTTGAGCACCAGAAGGAAGGCATAGCTTTCCTCTATAGGCTGTATAGGGATGGAAGAAAAGGTGGTATATTGGCTGATGATATGGGATTAGGGAAGACTGTTCAAATCATTGCTTTCCTTTCTGGTATGTTTGATGCTTCACTTGTGAATCATGTGCTGCTGATCATGCCAACCAATCTTATTAACACATGGGTAAAAGAATTCATCAAGTGGACTCCAGGAATGAGAGTCAAAACCTTTCATGGTCCTAGCAAGGATGAACGGACCAGAAACCTCAATCGGATTCAGCAAAGGAATGGTGTCATTATTACTACATATCAAATGTTAATCAATAACTGGCAGCAACTTTCAAGCTTTAGGGGCCAAGAGTTTGTGTGGGACTATGTCATCCTTGATGAAGCACATAAAATAAAAACGTCATCTACTAAGTCAGCAATATGTGCTCGTGCTATTCCTGCAAGTAATCGCCTCCTCCTCACAGGAACCCCAATCCAGAATAATTTACAAGAACTATGGTCCCTATTTGATTTTGCTTGTCAAGGGTCCCTGCTGGGAACATTAAAAACTTTTAAAATGGAGTATGAAAATCCTATTACTAGAGCCAGAGAGAAAGATGCTACCCCAGGAGAAAAAGCCTTGGGATTTAAAATATCTGAAAACTTAATGGCAATCATAAAACCCTATTTTCTCAGGAGGACTAAAGAAGACGTACAGAAGAAAAAGTCAAGCAACCCAGAGGTCAGACTTAATGAAAAGAATCCAGATGTTGATGCCATTTGTGAAATGCCTTCCCTTTCCAGGAAAAATGATTTAATTATTTGGATACGACTTGTGCCTTTACAAGAAGAAATATACAGGAAATTTGTGTCTTTAGATCATATCAAGGAGTTGCTAATGGAGACGCGCTCACCTTTGGCTGAGCTAGGTGTCTTAAAGAAGCTGTGTGATCATCCTAGGCTGCTGTCTGCACGGGCTTGCTGTTTGCTAAATCTTGGGACATTCTCTGCTCAAGATGGAAATGAGGGGGAAGATTCCCCAGATGTGGACCATATTGATCAAATAACTGATAACACATTGATGGAAGAATCTGGAAAAATGATATTCCTAATGGACTTACTTAAGAGGCTGCGAGATGAGGGACATCAAACTCTGGTGTTTTCTCAATCGAGGCAAATTCTAAACATCATCGAACGCCTCTTAAAGAATAGGCACTTTAAGACATTGCGAATCGATGGGACGATTACTCATCTTTTGGAACGAGAAAAAAGAATTAACTTATTCCAGCAAAATAAAGATTACTCTGTTTTTCTGCTTACCACTCAAGTAGGTGGTGTTGGTTTAACATTAACTGCAGCAACTAGAGTGGTCATTTTTGACCCTAGCTGGAATCCTGCAACTGATGCTCAAGCTGTGGATAGAGTTTACCGAATTGGACAAAAACAGAATGTTGTGGTTTATAGGCTAATCACTTGTGGGACTGTAGAGGAAAAAATATACAGAAGACAGGTTTTCAAGGACTCATTAATAAGACAAACTACTGGTGAAAAAAAGAACCCTTTCCGATATTTTAGTAAACAAGAATTAAGAGAGCTCTTTACAATCGAGGATCTTCAGAACTCTGTAACCCAGCTGCAGCTTCAGTCTTTGCATGCTGCTCAGAGGAAATCTGATACAAAACTAGATGAACACATTGCCTATCTGCAGTCTTTGGGGATAGCCGGAATCTCAGACCATGATTTGATGTACACATGTGATCTATCTATTAAAGAAGAACTTGATGTGGTAGAAGAATCTCACTATATTCAACAAAGGGTTCAGAAAGCGCAATTCCTTGTTGAATTTGAGTCTCAAAATAAAGAGCTCCTGATGGAACAACAAAGAAATAGAAATGAGGGGGCCTGGCTAAGAGAACCTGTATTTCCTTCTTCAACAAAGAAGAAATGCCCTAAATTGAATAAACCACAGCCTCAGCCTTCACCTCTTATAAGTACTCATCATACTCAGGAAGAAGATATCAGTTCCAAAATGGCAAGTGTAGTCATTGATGATCTGCCCGAAGAGGGTGAGAAACAAGATCTCTCCAGTATAAAGGTGAATGTTACCACCTTGCAAGATGGTAGGCACCCATATGAAGGTACATGTAGTGCTGACTCTATAGCTACTTTACCCAAGGGGTTTGGAAGTGTAGAAGAACTTTGTACTAACTCTTCATTGGGAATGGAAAAAAGCTTTGCAACTAAAAATGAAGCTGTACAAAAAGAGACATTACAAGAGGGGCCTAAGCAAGAGGCACTGCAAGAGGATCCTCTGGAAAGTTTTAATTATGTACTTAGCAAATCAACCAAAGCTGATCTTGGGCCAAATTTAGATCAACTAAAGGATGATGAGATTTTACATCATTGCAATCCTTGGCCCATTATTTCCATAACAAATGAAAGTCAAAATGCAGAATCAAATGTATCCATTATTGAAATAGCTGATGACCTTTCAGCATCCCATAGTGCACTGCAGGATGCTCAAGCAAGTGAGGCCAAGTTGGAAGAGGAACGTTTAGCATCTTCACCACAGTATGCATGTGATTTTAATCTTTTCTTGGAAGACTCAGCAGACAACAGACAAAATTTTTCCGATCAGTCTTTAGAACATGTTGAGAAAGAAAAGAGCTTGTGTGGCTCTGCACCTAATTCCAGAGCAGGGTTTGTGCATAGCAAAACATGTCTCAGTTGGGAGTTTTCTGAGAAAGATGATGAACCAGAAGAAGTAGTAGTTAAAGCAAAAATCAGAAGTAAAGCTAGAAGGATTGTTTCAGATGGCGAAGATGAAGATGATTCTTTTAAAGACACCTCAAGCACAAATCCATTCAACACATCTCTCTTTCAATTCTCATCTGTGAAACAATTTGATGCTTCAACTCCCAAAAATGACATCAGTCCACCGGGAAGGTTCTTTTCATCTCAAATACCCAGTAGTGTAAATAAGTCTATGAACTCTAGAAGATCTCTGGCTTCTAGGAGGTCTCTTATTAATATGGTTTTAGACCACGTGGAGGACATGGAGGAAAGACTTGACGACAGCAGTGAAGCAAAGGGTGCTGAAGATTATCCAGAAGAAGGGGCAGAGGAAAGCAGTGGCGAAGCCTCCAAGTATACAGAAGAGGATCCTTCAGGAGAAACACTGTCTTCAGAAAACAAGTCCAGCTGGTTAACGACATCTAAGCCTAGTGCTCTAGCTCAAGAGACCTCTCTTGGTGCCCCTGAGCCTTTGTCTGGTGAACAGTTGGTTGGTTCTCCCCAGGCGGCAGAGGCTACGAATGACTATGAGACTCTTGTAAAGCGTGGAAAAGAACTAAAAGAGTGTGGAAAAATCCAGGAGGCCCTAAACTGCTTAGTTAAAGCGCTTGACATAAAAAGTGCAGATCCTGAAGTTATGCTCTTGACTTTAAGTTTGTATAAGCAACTTAATAACAATTGAGAATGTAACCTGTTTATTGTATTTTAAAGTGAAACTGAATATGAGGGAATTTTTGTTTCCATAATTGGATTCTTTGGGAACATGAAGCATTCAGGCTTAAGGCAAGAAAGATCTCAAAAAGCAACTTCTGCCCTGCAACACCCCCCACTCCATAGTCTGGTATTCTGAGCACTAGCTTAATATTTCTTCACTTGAATATTCTTATATTTTAGGCATATTCTGTAAATTTAACTGTTGTTTCTTGGAAAGTTTTGTAAAATTATTCTGGTCATTCTTAATTTTACTCTGAAAGTGATCATCTTTGTATATAACAGTTCAGATAAGAAAATTAAAGTTACTTTTCTCAAGTGTTTTCCATCCACTTTGTTTCACTGAGATGATACTGGCAGAAGCCTGTCATTATCAGTCTAGATCTTAAGACATGCTTGTGAACATGCTGTTTCATGTTTTCAGCTTAATACAGGTGGAGCATCCCTAATCCAAAAATGAGGAAACTTTCTGAGTGCTGACATGATGCCACAAGTGAGGAAAGTTCCATACCTCATGTCATGTGACATGTCACAGTCAAAATGAAGGTGTACAACACACTGTTTACTCAGCATCCCCAAGGGAAAAGAGATTCTGTAAGCCCCCTTCAGCTACTATATATCCTTTCCACACAGGCCCAGATTCTCCCATGCAAGCCTGCCTACAAAGGGCAATAAAATGGTTCAACATACACAAACTTTGTTTCAAGCACAAAATCATTAAAAGTAATTATAAAATTACCTTCAGACTTATGTATATAACGTGTATATGAAACATAAATGGATTTCGTGTTTCGACTTGGATCCCATCTCCAAAATATGTCATTATGTATATGGAAATACTCCAAAATCCAGAACACTTCTGGTCCCCAGCATTTTGGATAGAGTACTAAACTGGAACAGCAGAAAGCTGAGCTAGGTACCTGGTGCTGGGATTCTTTATCACTGGTAGCTTGCCCTGGAGTCACTGCTGACCATTTAGCCATTCTTCATGCACCATTAACTGTTCTCCCTTTCGCCAAACCAGGTATCTCGTCTATTCTGACACATATTATCACAGTCTATCTTGGATTGTAGACTGAAAAGGAGTTTGGTACCCTTGTAGAAAGACAAAGTGCAGTATAGCATGCTGCACTCTATCACTAGAGAAGTGGACTATCCTTGATGAAGTACTATGTGTTGGGCACTCCACACAGGTTTCTCATTTCAGCCTTACCATAATCCTTTGAGGTGAAGGGAGAGTAGCATTTCCATTTTTCATTTGAGGAAACAAAGGCTCAGTGAGGTCATGACTTCCCCATGGTGACATGGTTGGGGTGAAACTGATTTTTAACCTTGTGTAAATGAATACACTATAATACACTGAGCTGTTTTTACTCACAACACTTCTGACACCAAATGTGGGGGTTTTCCACATCAAGCAATTCTCCAGTTCTCCAATTAAAAATTGAACTGGTGTCCTACAATTCAATTTCGACACTACCCAGGGTTAGCACGCTCAGTCCCACCAAACTGCCCTCACTTCAGACGTCAGTTGTAAGTATTCGGTCCCCATGTTACCCACACTTCTGTCTGACTTGGCTACAAATTAGGGGTTCCCGTGACCGCCCCATCCCACCCCCTGGTTTAATAATTTGCTAGAATAGCTTATAAAACTCAGGAAACGTTTACTTACTATTACCAGCTTATAAAGACTACAACTCAGGAACAGCCAAATGGAAGAGATGTGTATGGCAAGGTATAGGGGTGGTGCATTAAGCATCCATGCCCTCCAGGCACACCACCCTCCCAACATTTTGATATGTTAATCCAGGGATCTCCAAACTCCATTGTTAGGGTTTTTGAGGTTTCCTTAGGGAGGCATGATTGATAAAATAATTGGCCATGGGTGATTCACTCATCTTCAGCCCCTCTCCCCTCTCCAGAGGTTGCAGTTATGGCTGAATGTTCCCTCTGATCATGCCTTGATGTTTCTGGTGACCAGCCCCCATTCTGAAGCTACTAGCGGCCTCCAGCCACAAGCTATCTCATTAGCATAAAAAAGACACCAGTTGAGATTTCAAGGCTTTCAGGAACTATATGCCAGGAACCAGGGACAAAGACCAAATATTTATTTTTATTATATCCCATACATATAAAAGTTACTTGTAAATTATATGTATATACACACTAATAATCTCATGTGTATTGCAAGAAATTACATAAGTTCAAAAGAGAAGCTGAATTTCAGGTTGTTGATGGAACAAAATATTGTTCTTATAAAAGCAATTTATTACTATTTTAGGGTAATGTGATTGAATATATATCATTATTTTTGAAATATTGGTGTAATTGTGATTTAGCAATTCACAGTCTGCATCTGAGTTCAGCTTACCATTTCCCTGTGCTTCCCACCGTGATGTGAAGGGAGTGGCTGTGCCCTACATCGTTCTCTGTCCCTTCCACCATACACACACAAATGTTTGTGAAAATTCAGCTAATAAACTTCTTTCTTCCCTGATGTAGAAAACAAAAAAATCCACACAATTTGCCTTCAAGGAAGCTTTAGCGGCCTATATCCATTTGATCTGAACAGTGAAACGTCTTAAGTTCTAGGAATATTTCTCACTGAAAATAGCAACGCTCTTTCTGTTGAAGTGTGTGTGTACTATGACAAATTCTGTTGTCTGGGGAAAAAAAAACATGCTCATGGTAAACTATTCAAACAGTATCCATGGCAGGGATTTTTAACCTGGGGTTCATCATGGGTAGAAGAAGTCAGTTGTCTGAATTTGGATGGAAAAAAAGTTTTATCTTTTCTCTGTCTGGTAGCTGAAATACAGCATTTCCCTCCATCATGAATGTGAAGCAGGAAAATAGGGTCTGGAGGCAGGGAACATAAAGCCGATTCACACTAAAGCTATGGCAGGAAATATCCTCTCCACAGGGCGTAGGCCAAGTAAATGACTTTGTACCTTCACTTCATCCTTTCCATTTACATAGGGTGTACCCCAAGTAACCAATGGCATCCTCTAGGGGGTATTTAAACTCCCCAGAATTCTGTAACAGGGTCTTTTGAGCTCCTATGCTGTGGAGTGTAGTTTCGTTTTCAATAAATCCCTTTGTCCCTTCCTTGCTTTGTGCGTTTTGTTCTTTGTTCAAGATGCCAAGAACCTGGACATCCTCCACTGTTAACAAATGTAGCCATAAACTGCAGAAGTATTAGCAGTACACGTTATTGTCACCAGTAGAAATCACATAGATTTCGGGGTTATTGCAGATATCTCAAAATGCCATTGATATTCATTACTGCAAAGTCACAGTGCTTTTTAGACCTACTACCAGGTATTAATATATTAATAAAGAGGCACATACACATATTACAAACTTTTTTTTCTGAGACGAGGTCTTACTCTGTCACCCAGGTGGGAGTGCAGTGGCACAATCTTGATTCACTGCAACCTCTGCCTCCTGGGCTCAAGCGATCCTCCCACCTCAGCTCTACCTGCCCCTGCCAGGAGTAGCTGGGACTATAGGCGTGTGCCACCATCACGCCTAACTAATTTTTTGTATTTTTGGTAGAGACGGGGTTTCGCCATGTTCCTCAGGCTGGTCTCAAACAAGACCCCATGTCAGTAAATCATTAAAAAAAAAAAAAAATCGATAACATGTAGTTTCAGCTTTAAATTTTTTTTTTAGACATGGGGTCTCACTGTGTTGGCCAGGCTACAGTGCAGTGGATATTCAAAGGTGCAATCCCACTGCTAATCAGCACAGGAGTTTTGACCTGCTCAGTTTCCAACCTGGGTCAGTTCACCCCTTTGTAGGCAACCTGCTGGTCTTTCACTCCCAGGAGGACACAATGTTTTTCTTTCTTTCTTTTTTTTTTTTAAGAGGCAGGGCCTCTGTTGCCCAGGCTGAAGTCTGAAGTGCAGTGGGCATGGTCATAGCTCACTGCAGCCTCGAATTCTGAGGCTCAAGTGATCCTCCCACCTTGGCCTCCTAAAATGCTGGGATTATAGGCATTAGCCACTGTACCCAGATGAGGTCACCATATTGATGCTGAACTTAGTGCTGATACCCAATTGGCATAGGACACTACAGCCCAGAACTCCTGGGCTCCAGTGATCCTCCTGCCTCAGCTAGGTCTACAGGTGCACACCACTGGGCCCAGCCATAGTTTCATCTTATATCTATTTGAACATCTCTGTATACACTGGCATATCTGCTCCGTGGGGAAAATCTCATGGAGGCATAACCTACTGAGGTGCTCAGAAATTCTTCTCAAGTGGGAAAGTCAGGTATCTAGGTAAAGCTGCCATTATATAAATGGGTATAATATCAAATGCAGCTGAGGGAGAGAAAGCAGTGTGTTAATCACTGTTAAGAATCACAGAGCTGTGTTGGCAAAGTTTTATTTTTGAAGCAGTATAGTATTTATATTAGTAATCTTTATCCTTTTTTATATGTCATAAATATGGTATTTTAAATTTTAAAAATTTAGATGCATAGAACATTGGCCCTGGAAAGGACAGTCCTAACGTAACCCATACACTGAAGATGAGGGAATGATGTTTTTATGCTGACATCCTTCCCTTTAACCAGCACTCGGTTAGTCTAGTACGAAACAACCCATGGAAGAACTGAGTGCTTTTTTCCTCCAATAAACATTTATTTAAAAAGAAAGGAGTTAACACTGAAAGACTATAATGTGCTGTGTACTATGTTAAGACAGTGGAGCTAATAATACCTGTCCTGGAAGATCAGAGTTGACTAACATGTAAAACAAATGTTGTCTAGGAACTTATTTTATGATTCTCACACACTAATCTATTTGATGCCCAATATTTTCAGTTGTGTGAATAGAGTGAGTTGATATCTGCTTCCCCTGAAGATGGTTTCTGAATTAATTTATGGGACAGACTGAGAGATACAGTTCTGGGAGGAAAGGGAATACAAGTTAAAGGGAGTCTGCTTGACTTCTCTTTGAGAACGGCTGACTGAATACCTACTACAGTTGACATTCACTTAGCCCCACCCTCTCTTACACCTACAAACTCATACTGAGAGCCTTCACAGAATACAAGGGGCATCCAATATCTTTTCTTTTTAAAAATTTTTATATTTCCTTGCCGCTCCAGCTCAAAGGAATACCTAATACCTTTTAAAGAAACAAAATGTATAAAACTTATTCAGTCTTTCATATGATTTTATTTTCTTCCTTCAACCATAATAATATGATATCCAAACTTCGTCTTAACCGGCGGGTCTGTAAACACAGGCTTATCCATCCCACTTACAGGCAAGGCAAATGCTGCTTCTTGAAATGGTCCCACCATGGACCCTCTGGTCATCCAACCCAAGTCGCCCTGAAAAACCCAAAAGATTAAGTGATATCAAGTGGCCCTGAAGAGGGAACAGTTCTACTGTAGCTTGAGAGAATTTCCCAACATTTTGCTAAGGTTATGAGGTATATTCCTAAGAGCAATACAGGAATAGGCTCAATAAGGACAAATAGGTAGAAGAAGTCTAACTCTAGACTGAACACATAAGTACTCTCAACACTGCTGGACTTTGAAGTTAGCTGTGCAAGTATGGTCATGCCTAGGTTTTGACATAGGTGATCCTTATTCTACTATTCACAAGTTGGACATTTCTGCTTTTGAGATCTTTAAACCAAAATATGGCTACAACTAATGGTTGAACAAAAGAATGATCCCTACTTCTGTATTTCTTCTGTGGAGGATGGAGACTTTTATTTTATCTTATTTTATTTTATTATTTGTCATTTTTACTTTGCTTTCTTACCCTGAGAGAAAATTATAAATAATAAGAGCAACGTACCCCTTGCCTGGCTTTATCTTCACTATACTGTGAGGCCACTTCATTGAATCTCATCCCAGACTTTAACTTTTCCATGGCTTCCATGATTTTGCCATGTTTTTCACATAGAATGTGTCTGACCTGCAAGGAAAAAAGTACATTCATGTAATACTTGGAGACCCAAATGACTCCTTAAAGTACAGCGGTTACAGTTGGATTACCCCCACCAGTTAAAACACACACACACACACACATTAGTTCATAGCAAGTAAAAATCCTGGAAATTTGCCCAGGACAACAACCACAATCCCATTCCCCATATTAAGATAATGTCTCAGAGTCCTGATTTAGATCGAAAAATAGGCATCTGGCTGTGGGAAGCTCCCATCTTTTTTTTTTTTTTTTTTTTTGAGATGGAGTCTTGCCCTGTCACCCAGGCTGGAGTGCAGTGGCATGATCTCGGCTCACTGCAACTTCCGCCTCCCGGGTTCAAGCAATTCTGTCTCAGCCTCCCGAGTAGCTGGGTTTACAGGCACGTGCCATCACACCTGGCTAATTTTTCTATTTTTTTTTTTTTTTTTTTTTTTTGAGACGGAGTCTCGCTCTGCCGCCCAGGCTGGAGTGCAGTGGCCGGATCTCAGCTCACTGCAAGCTCCACCTCCCAGGTTCCCGCCATTCTCCTGCCTCAGCCTCCCCAGTAGCTGGGACTACAGGCGCCCGCCACCTCGCCCGGCTAGTTTTTTGTATTTTTTTAGTAGAGACGGGGTTTCACCATGTTAGCCAGGATGGTCTCGATCTCCCGACCTCGTGATCCGCCCGTCTCGGCCTCCCAAAGTGCTGGGATTACAGGCTTGAGCCACCGCGCCCGGCCTAATTTTTCTATTTTTAGTAGAGGTGAGGTTTCGCCATGTTGGCCAGGCTGGTCTTGAACTCTTGACCTCGTGATCCACCTGCCTTGGCCTCCCAAAGTGCTGGGATTACAGGCGTGAGCCGCCGCACATGGCTGGGAAGCTCCCATCTTTTACAATATACCTCCATGCTAACAGGAGGAGGAAACATGATACAGGTTGAGAGCTGTGGTTCTGGAATCAAATCCCACCTCTGCTGTATGAACTAAGGCATTATTTATTTATTTATTTATTTAGAGACAGAGTCTCACTCTATCTCCCAGGCTGGAGTGCAGTGGTGTGCTCTCAGCTCACTGCAACCTCTGCCTCCCAAGTTCAAGCAATACTCTTGCCTCAGCCTCCCGAGTAGCTGGGATTACAGGCATCCGTCACAACGCCCAGCTAATTTTTGTATTTTTAGTACAGACGGGGTTTCACCACGTTGGCCAGGCCGGTCTCGAACCCCTGATTTCAAGTGATCTGCCCGCCTCGGCCTCCCAAAGTGCTGGGATTACAGGCGTGAGCCACCATGCCCGGCTGAACTTAGGCACGTTTTTAAACCTCCAAGTGTTTCTCCACTTGTACATCGAGATGCAATGATAACAGGACCTATGTGTTCTGACAGGATTGTGAAGATTGAGATAATGCAGCTACCATTGACCAATGGCTATTATTTCATCAGAGTGAGGATGCTAAGAAAAAACCTGCTAGAGAGTATTTCTTTCTTTTTTTTTTTTTGAGACAGTCTCCCTCTGTCGCCCAGGCTGGAGTGCAGTGGCCCGATCTTGGCTCACTGCAACCTCCACCCATGGGTTCAAGCGATTCTCCTGCCTCAGCCTCCCAAGTAGCTGGGACTATAGGTGGACACCACCACGCCCAGGTAATTTTTTGTATTTTTAGTAGAGATAGGTTTCACTGTGTTGGCCAGGCTGATCTCAAACTCCTGGCCTCAAGTGATCTGCCCACCTCGGCCTCCCAATGTGCTGGGATTACAGGCGTAAGCACACCGCGCCTGGCCAGGAAGTATTTCTTACTAAAAGAGACCCAATGTATAAGCCTCCCCACAATTCCACACTTTGAAAAGGAATCATAGGTTGAATATTAAGAACACCCAACCCTACTATTCAAATTTGACCTATGTTTATTTACATAAAGCCATGGATTTATAAAAACACTACTATCCTTAAAAATGATTTTGTCAAGATAGTTGTTTGGCAGGATTTCTCATTTCACATTGAAACAGAATCACTTATAGTCATGTGTCACTTAACTACAGGGAAACATGAGGAGAAATGAGTTATTAGGCAATTTTGTTGTTGTGCAAACATAACACTGTACTTACACAAACCTAGATGGTATGGCCAGCTACACACCTAGGCTATATGGCATAGCCTATTGCTCCTAGGCTACAAACCTGTACAGCATATGACTGTACTGAATACCACAGGCAACTGTAACACAATGGTAAGTATTTGGGTATCTAAGCATAGAAAAGGTACAGTAAAAGTACAGTATGAAAGATAAAAAATGGTACACTTATATAGGACACTTTACATGAATGGAGCTTGCAGGACTGGAAGTTGCTCTGGGTGAGTCAGTGAGTGGTGAGTGAATATGAAGGCCTAGGACATTACTATACACTACTGTAGACTTTTTTTTTTTTTTTTGGAGATGGAGTTTCGCTCTTTTGCCCAGGCTGGAGTGCAATGGTGCGATCTTGGCTCACCGAAACCTCCCCCTCCTTAGCTCAAGTGATTCTCCTGCCTCAGCCTCCTGAGTAGCTTGGATTACAGGCATGCGCCACCATGCCCGGCTGCCAGCTAATTTTTTTTAGAGTGCAGCAATGCGATCTCAGCTCACTGCAACCTCCACCTCCTGGGTTCAAGTGATTCTACTGCCTCAGCCTCCCTAGTAGCTGGGATTACAGGCACAAGTCACCACACCTGGATAAGTTTTGTATTTTTAGTAGAGATGGTTTTGCCATGTTGGCCAGGCTGGCTTCGAACTCCTGACCTCGGATGATCCTCTTGCCTTAGCCTCCCAAAGTGCTGGGATTAGAGACATGAGTCACCATACGCGGCCTAATTTTGTATTTTTTGTAGAGACGGGGTTTCACCATGTTGATCAGGCTGGTCTTGAACTCCTGACCTCAGGTGATCCACCCGCCTCGGCCTCCCAAAGTGCTGGGATTACAGGCATGAGCCACTGCACCCGGCCCCTACTGTAGACTTTATACACACTACACATGTAAGCTACAATTTATAAAACACTTTTCTTTATTCAATATTAAATTAGCCTTAGTTTATTGTATCTTTTCAACTTTATACATTTAAAAATTTTTAAACTTTTTGACTCTATTTAATAACACTTGGCTTAAAAAACAAGCACATTGTGCAACTGTACAAAAATATTTTCTTCATATTCTTATTCTACAAGCTTTTTTTTCTTTTTTTTTTTTGAGATGAAGTCTCGCTCTGTCGTCCAAGGTGGAGTGCAGCAGCACGATCTCAGCTCACTGCAACCTCCGCCTCCCAGGTTCAAGCGATTCCTGTGCCTCTCAGCCTCCTGAGTAGCTGGGATTACAGGTGCGTGTCACCATGCCCAGCTAATTTTTGTATTTTCTGTAGAGACAGGGTTTCACCATGTTGGCTAGGCTGGTCTCAAACTCCTGACCTCAAGTGATCTGCCCGCCTCAGCCTCCCAAGGTGTTGGGATTACAGGCGTGAGTCACCACACCTGGCCACTATAAGCTTTTTTTTTTTTGAGATGGAGTCTCGCTCTGTCACCCAGGCTGGAGTGCAGTGGCACGATCTCGGCTCACTGCAAGCTCCACCTCCCGGTTTCATGCCATTCTCCTGCCTCAGCCTCCTGAGTAGCTGGGACTACAGGGGCCCGCCACCACGCCCGGCTAATTTTTTTGTATTTTTTTTAGTAGAGACGGGGTTTCACCGTGTTAGCCAGGATGGTCTTGATCCCTTGACCTCGTGATCCGCCTGCCTCAGCCTCCCAAAGTGCTGGGATTACAGGCGTGAGCCACCGTGCCCAGCCACTATAAGCTTTTTTCCACTAAAAAAATTTTTTTTAACTTTTTAAACTTCTTTATTAAAGACTAAGACACAAATACACACATTAGCTGAGGCCCACACAGGGTCAGGATCATCAGTATCACTGTTTTCCACCTCCATGTTCTGACCCAAGGAAAGGTCTTCAGGGACAATAACATGCATGGGACTGTCATCTCCTATGATAATGCCTTCTTCTGGAATACCTCCTGAAGGACCTGCCTGAGGCTGTTTTACAAATTTTTTTTTAAGAGACAGCTTCTAGACTGCCTCCTTGTTTCTGCTTCCATACTCACAAAGTGATTGTCTGCTACAATTCCTGGGAAAATGTACACTGCATTCATGGTCACAGATAGGGGATACCATCCACCATTTTATAAATGAATAAACGAGTATTCTAGATTCTAGTTTAGACAGTGCGACAAAGAGTTTGTAATTCCTGTGGGGTCTGCAAGTGTGACCAACCAACTGGCAACAGTGCATCTGTGTCTTGGAGAGCCAAGCTACAGAAAGTTTGGGAGTGATGACTATGGAGGTGGCAGCTGAAGTGTGGAATTCATGAGGTTACCAGGAAGGAGACGAAAATGAGAAGAGGAGAAAAGAAAGCTAAAGATAACCTTAGAGACTATTAATGTTCAAGCAACAAGTAAAGAACTCAAAAAGTGTAATAAAAAGGGGCCGGGCGCAGTGGTTCACACCTATAATCCCAGCACTTCAGGAGGCCAAGGCGGGAGGATCCCTTGAAGCTGGGAGTTTGAGACCAGTCTGGGCAACATAGCAAGATCCCCACCTCTACAAAAACTTTTTAAAAAATTAGCTGGGCATGGTGGTGTACATCTGTAGTCTTAGCTACTCAGGAGGCTGAGGCAGGAGGATCACTTGAGCCCAGGAATTGAAGACTGCAGTGAGCTATGATCATGCCACTGCATGTCATGCACCCCTTGCTCTGTGTGACAGAGCAAGAACCTGTCTCTTAATAAGAAAAAAGGAAAAGCATAATAAAAAGGAAAGGCCATATAGGTAGGAGAGAAGTGTGTGCTAATAAACCAAGGCAGGAGAGAGTTTCAAGGACGAAATGGTCAACAAGAGTTAAGTGCTGCAGAGACATCAGGTAAGAAGTATAATAAATAAAGTTAAGTAAAATAATGCAATGATAAAGCAATGATCTCAGAAAAAGGAGTTTCAGAAGAGT